GTGTCCACACTATCCCAATTACTGCCAAAGCAAGGACTGAGAGAAAGGTACACATTTTATTTAAGCAAGGTGAAATTCAGAAACAAAAAGGAAGGGTTCTTGCAGCTCATTAGCTTTGTCTCTATTACTTTCTTCTTACAGTCCAAAAAACAGATGCAAATGCCAACACACTTTTGCTCATATGAACAAACCCTTACTCATTCCAAGCACAGAACAGCCAGTGTTAGATAAATAAAATCACCACTCGAGTTTGTTTAAAAAAACCTCTTATCTCTTGTTCTCTCCTATTTAGATAGAAAGCAAACACATCTCTGGTTGTATTTAGTTTGAATGATTCCACCTCTGTAATTGTGTGCACATATTGAGAGAAGTATACGGGCTCCATACTTCATCTCGCAGCCAGACAGGTTGCTAAAACATAAAAATGGAGGCTTTCCACAAAAACTTCCCCCCTTAAGGGGAGATGCCCGTGCCATTTTCTAGTTAATGCGTTCACCCTACACAATGATACCATCTCCCCACAAATCCATCAGTTTGTATGGCTGTCTTGATGAGCTCCACGCTGAGCTCCTCTTTTCTCACACTGCAGGGATATTAGGCAAGTCATCAGATGTGGGGAGTGGTCATCTGCTGGTCCAGGATGCATCTGCTTTGGTTCACAAGGTGAGCAGGTCTCCCCTAACTTGGATATCATGGTGTGGGATTTACAAATGGGCAAGAAAGGATTAGGAGTTAAGTGAGAGGATCTTCTGATCTGGCAGAAAAGGTTTTCCCAGTACCAACTCTTCAGTCTTTGGCCTGGACAGGCAGACAGCCAAGAAGCAGACTGACGTAGTTAAAGAATACTTAGCTGGTCTACAAATAATGTGGCCCTGACTCCTCCCTCTTGTAGTGCGAAGGGAGCAGGTAAATTAGGGAGCGATGGAGTCATATATGCATCCCTCATAGATACCCATAGGGAGATCCTGTAGGGAGCTTTCAACAACTGATAGTCACATGACAATGGGTGAGCTCTGAGAGGTGACCTATTAAACTGATCCGGCCTTAGCCTTCATGGACGAGTCACAAAACATTTGTTTTCTAACTTGCAAGCCTCTCACACTATACTGCACAAAGAACCAAGCTCAGGACTTCGGGAAGACTTAGCAAGACGGCACTCTGTCTAGCAAGACTGTGTATAGGGAAAGTAGGAAGGAGGAGGAGTTTCAGGTCCCCTTAGCTTCTACTGAAGAAGTCAACCCTAGTGGAACCTGCCTTAGTGATCAGTCTACATGTTCATCAATGTGCAGTAGTTACCGCGCATTTAATTTAGTACCTGCTTAATGGTATACTAATTCACCACAGTAACTAGAGTTACTGCGCAGTAGCACTGGTTTTTAGTGACACTTACTGTGCAGTAGCCCAATACTACAGTGCAGTAGTGTATTAACACGGCTTTTGCCCGGCATGCTACTGCACAGTGTTGTTAGCTTACTGTGCATTAAGCATCTCCTGTAGATATGCCCAGTGTGTTTACATGAAGCAGAACTACAGATGCTGCCTCTCAAATTTTTACTTTTGAAACAAAAGATGCAATTCTCCTTCACTAAGCTCCGAGGTCTAAGGGCTAACAAGGAGCCAACATAAGCCTTCTTCCATTTAATCAGCATCTAGCACCACAAGCAACTGAATCTTTCTGAAGAAAAACATACCCAGTCAGTACACATTTAATATTAATCAAAATACATTATGTATTCCTTATATCATTTGATTGTCCTAGCTGAAGGGAAAAAAATGCTGGCTTGATAAAAGCAATGCAACACACCGTAAATGAATGTGTAAACTGATAAATAGAGCTTGTTTAATTAAACACAGAGCTTTTTGAAGTTGTGGCTTAGTTTATATTAACACCGTAGAATCACAGCTAACCTAGAAGAACACATTTAGCAATTTTGTGCACGTAGGTACAGCTGTTCTTGGAGGAAGGGATTGAGTTAGTGATCTTGTTAGATTAGCCACCTGATTCAGTGCAGCCAAAGACTAAACGGAGCAACGCTAACCTAGTTCAGCAATCCCTATGTTGCTCCTGCTTACCAATATCAGGTTTGCCTTCAGTCCCAAAGACAACAGATATGGTAGTACTTAACACATCTGTAACTCATGCATACTTTAATAAGTAAGTCACGCATACTTTAACAAGTCCTGATACACTAAGGTGTTTGTCAGCCAGCAGTTAGAATTTGGGACTGTGAGTCAGGAGTGCTGGGTCCTATTCCCAGCTGTGCCACTGACTCATTATGTGAATCACCTTACAGGGATGTTTTGAGGTTTAATTACAGTGCACAGAGCCCTTTGAGGGCTGTGGATGAGCCACAACTGGATTACAAAGCACTCATAAGAATAATTGCACTCTTATTTTCACAGAACAAACTGATTGATGGCCTGTGATATTTCCATCGATAATGCATTGACTGCACAGAGCCATCATCACAGTTTAAGGAAAAGACTTCACCTCGAGCCTAATGGGAACCTGAACGTAAACATTTTGTTGTGCCAAAACCCAGGGAAAGCAAAGTGCAAGGTAATAGTTGCTTAGCAATTGGGCAGGGGAAACAAGTGGTTAAAGTGGAAGTGCATGTGATGACATTAACCCAAGTAAGTCAAGCTAAATTAGCATAGGCATCACTGTATGCAGCTCTCATCATTAAAGAACAAGGCTAGCCCCATCCCCTAGCTACCGAAGGCACAAGTACTGCTTACAGGACTCTTTCCAACAGTCTGCAGTTACAGGGGCCCTTGGTTAGGAACAACCCTCAAAGGAAGGCAGAGAAAACTGTATCACAGCACTCAGCTGCTCAAAACCATGTTGCAAGAGCAAATGGAGGAGAAACATTGGAAGGATCAAGCTCCTAAGGCAGGTTTTGGGGGTTTCTTAAAGCATAACAACAGTTGCACATTGGAGCAGATAGTTTCTCCCCATTTAAGCGTCACGCAGTTTGTGATGCCAGCTGGCAGAAAAAGAAAGAGAGGGAGAGAAGGAGCAGTGACTGCTTTTTGCAGACCAGGGTGAAAGGCAGCAGCCCAACCTAGGAAGAGACCAGAAGGAGAGCTGTCTGCTGACCTCATTGCAGGAGAGGAAGGGAAGTATGCGTCGCCTGCGCAGACCCCGCATGAGTGCACAGGGAAAGAAAGAGGAGACTCAGGGCTATGTGTATGCAAGACCAAGCTCTAGGTGTGGGCGAGGGAAATTTGCAGGGGGAAGAGTAAAAGTGAAACTGGGCAATGAGGTTTGTCGGAGTCAACAGGTAATGGTGAGAGTTTACACACTTGAGGATGAGAGAGGGAAGGCAATAACTGTGCCTGTGAGCAGGCCGAGTGCAAGAGTAACAATGACTGGCTTAGGTGGGTTGTTTGAAATCCGACTCACTGGACATCCACAGTTGCACATGGTCAGGTCTGGCATACCAGTCTTTCCTAAGCCATGGGCACATCCCATTTGAGGTTAAACACCCCCAACCCAGTCCAGAGGGCAGTATGCCCAGCTGCAAACCCCTCTCCAAGTTGGGGTTCATTAATCCTTCCTACCTTTTCTGCTTGTCGGTCTTGAAACAGCCTCCCTCATCCTCTCTCTCAAATTCCTTCAGAGCAACTCTCCCCACACTGCCTGGGCTGTGGGCTGCTCCGGCAGGTGTTTCTAATGGGCTGCTTTGTCCCAGCTGGGTGTGATAATGAGACCTTTCTTAGCCTTTCCAGGTTGTTGCTGTGCGAGTTCCCATCACACTAAGAGAAATTGAGCCCAGGGTCTTCTCATGGAGTGGTTAGGAAGCCCCATGCCTGATAGCCAACCTCACTGGAAGCTGCTTGGCTCCCCAGAAAGGGCCAGGCCATGCCTGCCTCCACGTTGAAGCCCTCAGAAGAAGACAGAGGATGCAGGAATCAGCACTTCTGCCCCTCATTGCAAGGGGTCTGTCAGTAGATCCATTTAATCCTCAGCCTCTCTCCCAGAGATGGCCAACAGTGGCAGCTGTTACAACAACGGGGATTTGTGATTTGGCTACTTCTGTATTAGGAGTCAGACCGAGAGCACCAAATGGCCATCAGATGGCAATAACTCTCAATCACAACTAACTTCCGCTTGAATTCAAAGCAGGCATCCTACCAAGAAAACACTCTATATTCCTTTTCCAATCCCCTGAGCTGTGCAGTCCCTGGTAGCAGAAATTTTTTGCTTTTTTTTTTTTTTTTTTTTAATCAGTTGTCACAGTTTTTGTTTGGTTTTTCACTGCCCCAAAGCCTCGGAAGAAAAAAAGCAATGCCTCTATTACAGAAAGCGCCATTCGTTAACACAGTAACTGTGGATATAGTGATACCACTATCTAATTGATATTATTAATCTTATCAGTAATATATCCTTGTACCCTGTGTTTATAAGACATTCAGTAATGCTAAACCTAAATGAAAATAATAGAGCTGCTAATTATATCCCTATAAACATACTTTATGGCAGTGCAGTGGACTCCCTCTGCCTTAGGTTATTCGGTTGCCAAAACCATAACAAAGTACAGATGTCATGCCCACGTTCCTGATGGGAAAATATTTGTGATCAGGAACATCCGAAACACATTTGTTACCAGGAAACATGCATAGCCACCCAGCAGATATAAGTGACCACTTTTAAAACATCTCTATTTGTAGGAGGAACAACTGCAATAACATGCCTGCAGATAAATATATTTTTAACAAGTTAATTAATTTTAATACACCTGGTCTGCCGGAACAAACCTGTCCTTTGTCTCACCGGTTTTGAATTTTAAATGGGGTGCCAGAGTTCCTGAAGTCTCAATTTAGAGCAGAGCATGTGTTAAGCATATAATGCAGTCCCTAGCTAGTTTATCATCGTTGACAATTAACTGCTCCTATAGATTTTGGAGCTCCTCGTGAGCTCTGAGTTTTGAAATCCAGCTGAACTAAGCCCGCTTACAATTTTTTAAGGGTTTTTTATTATTATTGATATTGTGTTCATTTATTTATTTATTAATTGGAGCTTTTGGGCTTAATTTAGGTTTGACTGAGTCCGGGGTTTTCACTACACCACAAGGTATTAAGCGGTATCAACACATGGGAAAATGCATGGCCTGCCAAGCTAAACATTTCCGTGCGTAATTTTGTAAATTTTTTCCCCAGCTAAGAACTTGTAGCCGTTATGGTGAGATTAGATGCCAAGTGAGTATACAAACTGTTCTCTTTTAGGCTTAGCTCAGTCTATTTGCATAAGTATCATGATGCACTTTGGGGAATGCTAAAATTGATTTTAAAAATTTTTTAAAGTTTGTTCATCCAGTTGCTCCTGCCTTTTTTAGCTGCTGGTATAAAGGTGTGGGGCTTCATTCTGAGCTTCTCTCTCCTAACGTAAATGTGGGAGTAGCTGTTTAAGTCAATGAAGTCATGGTGGTGTTAAATCCATATAACATCAGAAGCAGGTTTGTAAGCCACAGTTATTGGAGTAACTGGCTATTGTTTATGGCAAGGTTTATGCTTCCAGATATAAAATGCAAGCAAAGGGGAACCGTTTTGACAAGAACGGCATAATTCATTTTGAGAAAAATCTTCCTCCTGTTTAAGAGTTAGTATAAACAGTAATTCCTTAAGGGAACTAGACATGATATTTCTCATTTTCTCATAATCCACAAGCTTTATTGTTTGGTTTATTCCTTTATTATTATTGATTATATCTGAGCCGAACACGAGCCTGGGCTGGAATCTAAACCTTTTCTTTTTCATATGTACTGGTTGCATGCCAGTGCAATTGATTTTGAAAACAAAAGAATTGAAGCTAGAAAGGTTCATGAAAGCTGAATTTCCTAAACATATTTAACACTGTGGTCCCCATCTGAGTCACATTTTAACTAAAATGTTCTTTATTTCAACAGAGACCTGCAATTAGGATGTTGACACAAGGGGACGGGGCAAGAAGAGCAGTTGTGTTTGCCTTCAGAAATTCATATACTTAGTGTAAAATGCCATCTGTCAGGAGCTTTCAGTCCACAAAGATAAAATAGCAGACATGCTCATGTGACTGGTCAGACTAACAAATATGCAGAAAATTCAGCCACTCATAAATAGATAAAGAGCATATAGAAGCAAGTGCATAAAAACACATGAAAACAATGTATAGCAAGGATTGTTCACAAAACCACCCTTAAAGACTTCTTCAATAATGACACCGGAGGTCTTCCACTGAGACATCCAAGTTCAGTTTTGAAGTCAAATCACTTTCCTAAAACAACAAGAAGAGGCTTCCTTTTCTTTCCTGGATCATGCTCATTCTTGGCTTGGTCTGGATAAAATTATTTTCAAACAAACAGGAAAAAAAAGAAAAATTCCCCACATGCTGCAGTTGATGAGCCCCCCACTGCAGAAAGGATGTGGACAAGTTGGAGAGAGTCCAGCGAAGGGCAACACAAATGATTCAGGGGCTGGGGGATATGACTTGCAAGAAGAGGCTGAGGGAACTGGGCTTATTTAGGCTGGAGAAGAGAAGAGTGAGAGGGCATGGGCAACCGGTGCCTCCTGGCTCTGGGGGGGCATCAGCAGCCAATCGCTGATGGGAGGGGGGGTCCCCCGGCAGCCAATTGCCAATCCCAGAAGCACTGGCGGCAAACCAGAAATGCCTCCAACACTTCTCGGGGGGACACCGGCCAACGCGCCCACTCCCTCACCGGCAAAGGCCAAGTTTATATGTGTCGCCTATGCGAAAGGGGATTTAATAACAACCTTTGACTACCTGAAGGGTGGTCCAAAGAGGACAAAGCTGGACTGTTCTCAGTGGGGGCAGATGACAGAACAAGGAGCAATGGTTTCACGTTGCAGCAAGGGAAGTTGAGGTTAGATATTAGGAAAATTTCTCTCACTGGGAGGGTGGTGAAGCACTGGAACAGGTTCCCCAGAGGGGTTGTGGAATCTCCGTCCTTGGAGGTTTTTAAGACCCAGCTGCACAAAGCCCTGGCTGGGATGATCTATTCGGAGATGATCCTGCTTTGAGCAAGGGATCAGATTAGATGACTTCCTGAGCTCCCTTCCTACCCTCATTTTCTATGATCCAACAAGACCAATCTAAGCATTTTGGATATACAAAGGAAAGCCTCCTTTAATTCCTGGATAGCGCCTAGAATGTCTAATTCTTTTGCAATTCCTCATAATATGTCTGCATTTTAAATGCAGCTATTTCACCTTACACCTTCTCACTCTCTAATGCAAGCGAGTCAAAGCATGCACAGCTTCATAGCTCGAGTGCTTTACAGAAGAATCTCTCTTAAAATTCACTGCTGATGTTATCATCAAGCAGCTCACGATAAAACTGGAACCACTGCCGCCCCCTGGACTTGTGGTATGTTCTCCGTGACTGGAACCTTGACATTCGGGGGCAACGCCTTGGCTCTTTTGATGGTATGTTTTAAAGCCAATGCTTCATCGTAAACATTTTCAAAAGAAGAGGCATATTTTTTCCCCTCAAAGATTTCACATGTTTCTCTCCTTCGTTGAAGTTCTTCATAGGGAATAATAATCAAGCCATGTCCTTTACTTAAATGCATTCGTTCCTTTTGAAGCTAATCGTTAGGGACCTACCTAAATCACAGGCAGACAACGAGTTTTGCAGAGCTGATTTTGCAGGCGTTCTCCAGCAGCCCCACCACTCAGCACTGATTGGTGGAGAGACCCAGGGGGAAGGGCAGACAAGGGGGAGGCTGCCATCTGACTGCTGGCTATTGTTTGTCCCCCTCAGTGCTGATTGGTGGAGAGTCCCTGGCAAAGGGAGGAGGGACAATGGGACAGTCACCATCTTGTCTCCTGCCCTTCATGCTACCCTGCCAGCTGGAACCTTCCCCTACCAGCAGCAAGGGTCACTGGTTCCCACTGGGGGGCAAGCATTTTATTTTTATTAAGTTTTTTTTGTTATTGATTTTCCGGATTATCCTGGCTTTCACAGTTACCATAAAATCCACAAAACCACAAGTTAAGTAGGTCCCTAGTAACTGTTCACTTATTTTGTAAGGTTTTGCCCCAGTTTCATCACTTCAGGTGTGAACAATATATTTTTTCCCCTGTAACTTCCAACAGCATTCTTGCTTCAGTAGGAAAATTGCCATATCCGTTCAGAATTTCAAAAGTCTCTTCCAAAATATCAAGGATTATTTCTAAGGTCTTCAGGTGATAACTGCACCTAGTTTCGGAGTCTTTGCACACCGTACCCACTTCATGCTTGAGAAAGATTTGTCTAGTCAAAGTTGAGAAGAATTTAGCAGTGCCAGATATATTCTCATACATAACGAACCACCAAATGTAATCACATAAATCACACAGCGTGTCAGGCATTTCCTTACCCCTTTTCTGATAAATGCATCTGTAGATCTCCTTTGCAATGGGTGCATCTACACATACTATTAATGTGACACAATAAATGCTGGTGCAGTTTGCACCAGAGATTATTGCTCCCAAGTGCGGCATTTATATGTGACCGCAGCACATTGAGCTAGGGCAGAGCAGCCCCATCTGGCAGAGGGCCCACAGGGATCAGCCTGCCAGCCCAGAGCTTCTCTGCCCTGATGCCGTGTGTTGCAGAGGGGCTGGCTGGGGCAAAAGGGTGCCTGCCAGGTAGCCCCACATTGTAGCACCCCCGTGCCCCAGCCAGCCCCACTCTACACATGCATTGCGGCAGAATAAAAAAAATCCACTGTAGGATAGTACTTGTGTCAGGCAGTACTATTCTATGGTGGAATTAATTCATTTACTCCAGCCTCATAACCCCACACATGTACATGGTGATACTTTACTGTGGTGCTTAATTAGTCAACTCCACAGTAAAGTGCACATGTAGATGCCCCCACTCTGACATAACTTTACCGTCAACAAAGCAAGAACACAAAGTATTTTGAGGCTCAAGAGTCATTCTCAGAGGTCTTTCAAACTGTGTTTAGCACTGAAGTTATGCAATAGGACAAGTCCAATAAGTCTCTTCTTGGCTTTTCCCTCATATTAACGCACAACAGTGGACAAATTTTCTCCTTTCACTGAAACTGTTTCTAGTGTCACATTTCAAATGAAAGAACTTAACCACCTTTTGCCAAATACTTTCAGCAATTGCTTTCAATACCATAATGTCAATACTTTGATCCTGAATTTCAGCAAAAATATATATTTTTATATGTTCTCATAGCATCTTTGAATTTTGTATTTTGTCCTGCAGTAAACCTAAGTAGTTTGATGAAACTTCCTGATGAATCATTCAGAGTGAGATCTAAGCACTTGAGGTTTATGATGCCTTGATTTCCCTCTCAAAGGCAACTCATTTATCACAACCAGCTGGATAATGTTTGCCAAGGTTTTTATATAATACAGTTTCATTCAACTTGTGAAGGTGACACCAAAGCAACTATTGTGACACCTGAAAAAAGGAAGTTATGAAAAAATATAAATCAAAGTCATAACTCATTCATGTTATAGAGCAGATGAATAAACTGAAGCAATGTAATCCTTTTTTTTCTAGGGTAGACCAACCACATTGAGTTTTGGAACTTCCCCGTGAAGAGGTAGTTTTTAGAGCCATCCTCAAAGGATTTACAGTTTATGGATGTAAAAAAAGAAGGGTTTAGGATAAGTAAAAAATGTGGAGCTATATGTAAGATTTTGTGCAGGACTAAGGTTTACGTCCAGCTTCAACCTTTAGGTTGACACACAACAGAATGATACAGAAACATCAATGTGAAATATAGAAATAACAGCACATTACCTGAGGCCTCTCTTCCCTTCACTACATACTGGAGAGCCACCACTTTCAAGTGGACTAAGCAGTTTTCATCCGTGTTTTCCAACTGGAATCTTGTAAGCATGGCTGGTTCAGATGCCATTTTTCACTAAAAGAGCGCAATCTGCTTCCAAAATTTCTTTTAGGGAAATTACTTCTGAGTGGATCAGGCCTGAGAGAAAGAATGACAGTGGGCGTGTCTACACGTGTGCTTTAATGCACAGTAGCCTATTTTACTGCGCATTAAAACGCCATGTCAAAAACCAGGCACATACACTAATGCGCAGTAAAAAACAGGCTACTGCATTGTTTCACTAAAAAAGCATGCGCTTTTGCTACTGCACATTAGGGCCCCCTAATGTGCATTTATTTAGTACCGTACATTAGAGGTACTAAATTGAATGCGCAGTAGCAAAAGCACGTTAATGAACATGTAGACATGCCCGGTATCTATGAACCATTCTTCAATGTAACCTCACTATCTTTTGTATCATCTTCTGAAGTAAAGGGTGAGCTTGGCTCAGTCTCTCCATGGGGTAGGTAAATCACAAATTTGTCCATTTTGAAAACTGTACTTCTTACTCCACCAAGTATACAGAAGATCTTGGGTCTGTTAGGGCAGTGTGGTGTTGACCTGCTATGGGTTATAGTGACTGCATCAGAAGGGTAGGTCCCTGTTCATCCTATACAGTGTTCCCATGGGCAAGCAACTGATTTTGAGAGGAGTTTAGTTGGGAGGATATCTGACTTTCTCTGAGGCCAGCCAATAGGAGAGCTCTGAAGGCAAATGGGAGATTTATAGCTACCTACCCCCTTACCCTCTGTTACCTGAAGATCTCCAGGGGTACTTATGCCTCCACTTCTCCTCCGCTGGTGTATTTTAGAGATGGGACCTCTGGCAGTCTTCTTGGTGGTATTCATAGTAGTAAAAAACCTTCCCCTCAAGAATAATAAAGCTGTTTCCCTGACTCTCCAAACACGAGAGGCTTAAACTCCATTGAAAAGTGATGGATGAAGGAAAAAGCAAAGTAATATAGAAAAAGGTCTTAACAACCCAAACTTCTGGATGAGGTGCTACCAGTAGTATAATTAGGGGTGAGGAAGAGGAGCACCAGCCCTGGGTGCTGACTGGGGGTGTGAGTAGGGCGGCAGGAGGGGGAACGGAGAGCCAGAATGAAGCTCCCAGAGAGGCTGCGTGGTGGCAGCAGCCCTCTCCAGCCTCACTTCTGATTTTTGTAGCTTCACTACAGATGTCGGGTCTGCTAGCTTTTCAGCTAACAGTATGTTTGGACACATCATGCTACACCATAGAGAAACTGTAGTTTCAGAAGCATTTTTAGAACTAAGTTACAGTTCTCTGCTCCTTCCTCTACTTGGGAGAACATGGCCCA